GGTGGCTCACACCGTGTGGAAGGCTCCCATCGCCGTCCTCGCTGTCGTTGTCGTTGTCGTCGTCGTCGTTGTCATCGTCGTCGTTGTCATCGTCGTCGTTGTCATCGTCCACGGGGACAGCGCGGAGGCGTTTTCATGGCGCGAGGCGACGCGACTGGGATCGTGCGCGCTTCGCCGGAATTACCGGAATACAGGAGGACGACGTGAGAGGGTCGCGCGTTAGGGAGTACGGCTCTCGGCCCGGGGCTCTCGTCGCCGCAGAGGAGCTGAGGAGCATCGGCCGAGGGAAAAACACAGCGGCGGCAGTGGCGGCGGCGCGTACCCACACACGCAGCCGAGTGCGTCACCGCCCATATGTGATGTGTCCCGCGCGTGCGAGCGAATGAGTAATCATGTACTGTCAGGACAAGGGTTCGACCGCCTCCAAGAGCAAAGAGGGTAAGTCGGATGCGGACGCATCCTTCCCTTATTTCTCTCTCGCGACCGACGTTCCGGCTCTCGCCGTTTCGGTTTCTCATCGGTTGGTCTTTGCGTGTGCGTGTGTGAACGAGGTGAGAAAGATAGATAGAGAGGGAGTGTACGTGTATGTGTATATGTATATATGTGAAAGAACGGGAGAGAAGACGATGAATGAGAGAGAGATAAATAGAGTTCCGTTCCAGGATCATGGAGACGGGAGAGAAGGACCAAGTAGCAACAGCAGTCTGACAGAGAGGAGCGGAGAGATAGAAAAAGGGAGAGGAGAGGGAGAGACAGAGAAAATGAAAATAATAATTCTCTCTTTCTTTCTCTCTCCTCGCGCGCGCGTCCCTTGTATGTGTGCATGTACAGTATCTCCTGATGGCAGGCAGAAGAGGGACAACCGATCTCTTCAGTATATATGCAACTCAAGCGAGAGAGAAGTTGAACATTATTTTTCTTTGCCGGCTTGATATTCGCGTTGGCCACAGGAAGAAACGCGCGCGCTTATCAATTTCAGGATTGGGATCGCCGTATCTTTTCGAATTGCATGATGAGTACAATGCAATCTTTTGTGTAGTACGAAGAGAGAGGGAGAGAGAGCCTACGTTTTATCTGACACTTGAACATCTCGGCCAGAGATTTGTTCGGTTATTCGACGTGTGAAACTAATGTATATTAGTTCGTTGAACCCCCTGTGCTGTAACTACAGTGCATACCTGTATGCAGAAAAGAACGTGTGTGTCGATACTTGTGTGCGTGTATGTACGTGTGACTGAATGGCGTGTCATGTGCCATATACATACGGCAATCTCAAAGTTTTTATCGTGTTAGTAAGTGTCCTGTGAGAGTTTTGCTTTGTTATGTGGCTTGCTCCAAGAAAAAATGATAGTTGGCTGGTTCAGGTGAATTGATACACATACTTGGAAAGTGCATACTTAAGGATACGTACTTTCACTTTTAATTGCAGTAAAAATCTATTATCTTCTACGAACGGATGAGTCATCTACGTTCTGAGAAATTGAATTAAATTACCTTGGATCCGGGACAAAACTGTGTTCGAATTACTTCGTTCATTGAATGTTATTATTCTTGCTTTATTTGTAGTATAACGGTGTGTAATATCTACAAAAAAAAATTAGCACAATTATTAATATTTGTATGATGTAATCATATTCATATTTTATATCATGTATGGTTGTTTTTTATCACATTGTAATTTCCTGTGAGTTTCCTCGCATTGTCATTTGAGAAGAATGTGATGCATATATACCTCTATCATCATTAAGGAGCATACCGGCATAACACAGCGTATGATGTCATCATAAATGTAATGATCTGTTATATCTAAATTACTCTGATGTTCTTGGCCTTCTGTTATGATGTCATGCTATCTCAACTTACGTTCGGTGTATCGAATTGTGTGTTTAAACATTATGTTTGTTACACGCAGGGCCTGTGACAATGCGGGAAAAGAAAGGCGGTGCTCTCAGTAGAGTGCAAAAATTAAAAAAGCGCCTTAGTCACAGCTTTGGACGGCTTTGTAAGTATTTTTTGTATAGGTAATTTCTTTCACATTAATAAAATATAATAGTAATCACAAAGATTTAAGTATTTACTTAACTAATAACTTTGTTTTAATGTTTTTTCAATATTAATAAATATATAATTAATGTCGGGTAAATAATTGCTTTTGCCTATTGTAATTAAACAGCATGATGTTTTAGTAATAATATAATTATTATTGATATTGCAAATATTATAGTATTACAAAGATCGAGTTTTATACAATAGAATTAAATAGTTTTATACAATTAAATCGTAAATCGTTAATTAAACATAATTAATGATGATTATAAACATACATTTAAATATTATTTATTTTATTACAGCTATATCAAAAGAAGAGGCTGATGATGCAACAACGAGAGGTCAATTGCCATATAATGGTTATTCGGAGGAGTTCCTAGACCGCTTGGAGCCAAATGGCAATATACCTGCAGATAAAGATCGTCGTTACGGTGAGCTTTAGCCAAAAATATACATATTTATGGTTTCATAATATTTTATAGATATCATGATGTAGATCTAGATGTTTATATATTTTTTTGAAATAAGAGATGAAAACAAAGAACTTAATTCATGCTTTTTATTATATTATAAAGTAGAAATCTAATTTATGTGCACATATTTTATAAAGTTATTTATTAATTAATTTGTATTTATAAGAATGCACTCTTTCACATAATTAAAAAATAATTACTAAAACACATTTGTTAATGATCAAATATCATGTTGTTGTTTTTCTGCATATTTATGCATAGTTGAAATTATGCATATAAGAATAGCTATCCCGCGATTGTTTAAATGCATAAATAATATTAAAATACGTATATATGTAATTAGAAATAAGCAAAGTAGAATTATTTATATATCCAAAATTTTATAAAAATCTGTGATTTTATGTATTTCTATTGCTGTTATTTTAAGAATGTTTTCGGAAATTGGACTGTCATAGAATGGACAGGTGTGGGCGACCATGAGAGAGTGCATCGACAGCTTTCGGTTTCTAGCGATTCGAAGCTTCTTGATGAAGATATACGAGAGGAAGCTAGGGTAATTCTGCGGCCCCGACGTCCACCGCGGCCCAAATCTGAAGTTTTCCTTGGTCCAGAACCTAGAAGAACTAAAAGATTTTCCGCTTTTGGGGTAATATATTATATATATATGTACTCATTTGCATTAATTTTCTATCATGATACTAAACATTAATCTCAATTTGTCTCGACAGGGAGATTCACCATTCGGTAAATCCGAAGCTTATATAAAACTGGAGCAGTTGGGAGAGGGATCATATGCCACAGTGTTCAAAGGCTACAGCCATCTCACTAATCAAGTGGTGGCTCTTAAAGAAATTAGACTGCAAGAGGAGGAAGGAGCTCCGTTTACTGCCATTCGCGAGGCAAGTCTCCTCAAAGAGTTAAAACATAGCAATATCGTGACTTTACACGATATCATTCATACTCGCGAGACGCTCACCTTTGTGTTTGAATACGTTCACACCGATCTATCCCAATATATGGAGAGGTATTTTGGAAACGGAGGATTGGATCCGCGTAATGTTAAATTGTTTCTTTTTCAACTGTTGAGAGGATTGGCATACTGTCACCGCAGGTAATTAAAAAAAGTTTATAGTACGTAATGTCGATGTCTTTATCTTGATACGCGTTGATTAATTTGTGTTACTGCATACTTTAGGAGGGTGCTGCACAGAGATGTAAAACCACAGAATTTATTAATCAGCGAGATAGGAGAACTTAAATTGGCAGACTTTGGGCTAGCAAGGGCCAAATCCGTGCCATCGCATACATACTCACACGAAGTCGTGACCTTATGGTATAGACCGCCCGACGTTCTTTTAGGTTCCACAGAGTACTCCACCTCGCTTGACATGTGGGGAGTAGGTTGCATATTTGTGGAAATGTTAACTGGTGAACCAACATTCCCAGGTGTACGCTGTACGTACGACCAACTCGATAAGATATTTAAAGTGCTGGGCACACCTACCGAGGATACTTGGCCAGGTGTCACGCATCTGCCCGGGTATAAAGCACATAGACTGATATTTTATCCGCCGCGGAAACTAGGACTCTCGTTTCCTCGGCTGTATGATATCGCCGAGGGCGATAGTATGGCGTCGTCGCTCCTGCAGCTGAATCCCGATCAACGGATAGGTGCGGAGGAAGCATTACGTCATCCCTATTTCGCCTCTCTTCCTAGAAAATTATATGAATTACCTGATGGTAAGGGTTTTGTAAAATTTCGCACAACCAACGTTGTCATGAAATATATATACGTCTCATGTGACGAAATCTATTGATTCTGTTACAGAAGTGTCGATATTCAGCGTAGAAGGTTGTCACTTGTATACAAACTCGAGGCACGGGTGCGCGGATTCGCGTCACACGACTCTTAAGACTTGAGGTTAAAGCAAACGTTAAATGAGTAAATTATAAGTAAATTCGCAATTTACACGTTGAGTGAAATATTCATTCTCATGAGATTCATATGTGTCTGTGAATACACACATATACACAGCACACACAACAGATACATATAACAAGACATACAGATACACAGGCGCACATGCACTACTCTCAGATGCGTTGTTCGCTCTCTCTCAGGGCTGCTCCATGATTTCCGCCACTATTCTTTTCATACATATGCAATAATAATATTCTTTTCTCCTTCTTTTCTGAGAATATACGTATCGAGTAAATTAATTATTAACGAAGATAAATCGTAATTCTGGTCAAGGAAACAAGAAAGTAAAGCTTACGGCTACAAGTAAAAAAAAAAAGATTATAAGAACTTGCGCACGCTCGATTTAGGAAGCAAAAGCACGCACGACCCATCCTCGCACTTCGTCCAAATACTAGATTTAGATCAATACCAATCAAAAAGAAAGATACCATACCGCCGCCCTGCGTCTCCCCGATCCCAGCCCAAGCCAAGTAGGGCGGACGGTCGCTGGTTAGCAAAACTATTTACGAAGTAATTACTACTTATCTTAGAAAAATTATGGAAGACCTGTAGCACTTTATATAAACGAATTTTACTGCTGTTTCGAATACGATGTTGGTCGCTAGGACAGTTGAGAATATTGATAGATAAGATAGAAAATCGTTGTTCGAATTAAATTTATTGTTAGTCGTGATGATAGCATGTAAGGTATAGAAGTTTAGGGGGGTCAAAACAAAAACAGCGCATCAATATTAGTCAAGTGCCATAGTAGCCAACATCGCGAGATGCAGTGAGAGAAATTAATTGAACGCTCATCGTTAATAATACCCGATTGTAGTGATTTAGACGTAAGTGATTAGCATTAGATCGTATTTAATATCACAATCGAAGTTTATCGACAATGTCGCAACGTAGCGTAAATGATAGCAAATTGAGACAAAAAGAGAGAGTGTGAATGAGAAAGAAAGAGAAATGAAGTAGTGATTTTAGACTTGTCGAAATTTTATTTGTTCAATTTGCTTTTAATTATTATTGACATTAGCCAAATATGGTGCTCGAGCTGTAAACTGTGACATGTACAATCGACCTCATACTCGTGATATAGTTATATTTAACGAGTATTCGTTCGATTTTTTTAAAAACTACCGGATATAAAATAGCGTTGGCAATAGTAGAAATAGGAAAATGTAAAGAAGAAAAAAAAACGGCGTTACAGTTCTTCCAAATTTTGTCTAAGCTACAATTGACGATTTTTGCGGTAAATATTACTCCTTTTCGTAGGTTACATTTATACCGATTTTTCAGCACACTTATTAAAAAAAGAAAAATATATCAACGAGGTGAAAGTAAAAGAAGGGAGAGGGAGTTTCGAAAAGATTTGAAAGACGCTATTATTATTACTACCGATTATTGTGTTTATTTCGGTAGATTGTATATAGAATTACCAGATTCGTATTATCGATGATGCTGAGATAGCTAAATCGAGATAATAAATGTGACTTTGTAAGAAATTCAAATGTATGGTAATCTGGATCCTGTTCATCCTTAACCCGGCAGTGGTACCACAGAGCTAGGCGAAAAAGCCTGCAAAAAAGAAAAAGAAATCGCATCTCACTTTACGGGAGTGCACATTTAAACTACTCTGAACTGAAACGCCATATACTGTTAAAAAAAAAGTTATACTTATTCATCTATTACACACTTATAAAGTTTTATTTTTACATTTATAAAAAAGATATCAATAAGTAATAAATCCTGCAACGAAAATGCGTATTGAAGTTTGGAAATGTTACATTTTATTTTTGCAATTCGCATGATACAGATTATATGCAAAAAAATTTTTTCCATGATATTTAAATAAAATTTTTATTTTTTTATCTAATTTTTTTTATCAGAAACATTTTCTTTATTGTAAACAGATTGCAGTCCCAATATATTCCTTCATTATCTTAGCATTACTACTGTTATCATTCGGAATATCATCCTTTATCGAAGTTAAATATACGTAATGTAAAATTAAGTTTTAGAGGTTTATATTATGATTCTTTATTTCTTATTCTGCCATTTTAGTGAAAAGCAAGCATTTATAGAATAAATTAAGTCGATATTGTAATAATAAGTATAATTTTTTTATGTTCACGGAATTCTGATATATATATATATATAT